GCGGTTGGTTCGTTTCAAAATTCGGACACTGTACGCACTATACTCTCTTCGCACTTGGCGCATCGTCGTGGACTGCCAAGTTTAATTCCTGCCCCTCAAAGGTATCGTATTGATCATCTTAACTGCGCGCTTGCTCGCAGCTTCGGCGCACGAAATGAAAGAAACTTATTACGAGGACCAAAGGGTTGAACTATATTTGGAGTACAACGTCGTTGGGAAGTTTTCCGGTTCGCTGTCCCTTCGATGGATCCCAAACGAGACTTTAAAGCGCGATGAAAGTTTTATTGAGACAGCACGAGGGCGAAGGGAGAAGAGGAAACTTCCTGCGAGACCCCAAATTTTACGATCGACCAAGTTTTATCCCCTCCCCCTTGTCCTCGGAAAAAGCGAAACGACTCGTCAGCCAATGCTCGATTTTTTTATCCATTCCAAGTTTTCCGACGCGGGAAGCTTGAGGCAGGGACGTGAATATGTAAGAAATTGAATTGGAAATCTTACGGATTACTACTAGCGTAGAAAAGAATGCCGTTAGGTTCAGCAAAAGAATTCTGGTTACATCCTGAGCGACGTAACTTTACCATAGAGACGAGAAGGATGTGAAACAAAGTGGCGGAGCAAACAGACGTAGAGAAACAGAAGGGGGCGAGGAAGAAAGCGAGAGGGAGAGAAGATACGACGAGAAATAGCTGGCGCAATCACGTGCGGGTTTGAAAGGTCAAGATCAAGTTGCCGAGGGAGATGTGATCTGGAACCGCGGATACAATGAGAAAGGGGGTGCGACGGGCGGGAGGAAGCAGAAGAATAACGCTCTCCCCTGCACATCGACTTTAAAAATAAGATGGCAATCGGCCAGCGCTTCTGTTTGAGTATACGCGCCATATTTTTCGTCGGTCTTCAATTTTTTTTTCGTCCGATAGACGCGATGCTGTGCCCGGTGAAGAGTTAGAGTGTATAAAGTTAGCGCTCCACATTTTGAAAATTTTAATTTTTAAAGTTGTCCCAGGTTCGAACTTTGTACCACATTGTTCCAAAAAGATATTATTTTATTCAAATCGGTTTGCCGTAAAATAAAAATTTTTTCATAAATCGAAGATTTTCTTATCGCTATAGATTGTCCTAGTTGTCCCAAACATTGTTCTAAAAGAGTTAGCTCGATGTGGCAGTACCGGAGTAGTTCCACGCGATCAGGCGTGAATTTTCAATCTCGGATGTGTTGCAAAAGCACGGGAAACGGGTAAAGTACGTTTCCCAATACCGAGGAGGAGACGCGCTCACCTCTAAATCCCTCGGACACACGATCGAGCTGGTCTCAGGACTTGCCACTCCGAATTGGGGGGTCTTAATGAAGGCACGTGCGGACTTCGCCTTTGTCGCTCACTAAGGATTTCGACACAGCTAGAAACAGCTTAATTAAGCGAAACCAGCATTATTACACAGCTGTCCGTATGCACCTACACGTGCCGGTGAATATTCACGTGAACGCGTATTCAACTGTACTGGGTGCCCCGTACAATTTATATCGAGACTTTCGCATACTGAAATTTTGTACGCTGATATTTTTCTCACTTTCTGATATAATCTCAGCGTGAAACTTATATTACGAAATACTTTTGTAATATAAGTATAATAATAGCACGGTTCAAACAGCAGAAGCTAAATTTTCGAGACGTTTCCACAAATTTAAAAAAAAATGGCAAACGTTTCGTGAAAGTTGAAACGTATTTCCGTAAAGAATTCATTTCACTTTATAATACGTAACATCTGATTATCAGACGACGTTTGCTCTATATAAAAGCATTGAAACTAAAATTGCGATATTTTATTGTTCTTCATGCTCTATTAAAGTATTACGTAATCGATTAAAAATTGAGCAACAAGAGTGTAATTAAGGAACAACAACTTTGTTCAAATTATTCATATTTGTCTCACATTGGTATGGTATTTGAAATTATCATAACCCTGCGCGATGGACTGAGGGTCAAAAATGAGAGATGGGAAAAGACCTTCCGCGAAAAGGAGCTTGTGGAGATCTGAGGCAGAGCTCAACTTTAAATGGAATCCCGTTTTGGGAAGCTGCATACAGTTTAATTAAGCCAGACCCATTTCGCTTGTGTCTACAAACGGTATTTTGCAGTAATGCCTCTGCTCCCCCTCCCCCCCTCTCTCTCTCCCTCCTTCCCTCCCCCTCCCTTTCGCTCTCTGTCCGACCTCTCTATAAAGCGAACGCCAGTTGAAGGAAGTCCAAGTTCGCCTAAGTCTCGACTCTCGAGTGTCCGTCCTAATGAATTGCTAAACTATCCCGAATCCCTTCCCTCAAACGAAAGCTCGATTTCCCTGAATGGCTGCCCCTTCCTTCGGGCTTAATGCCCGATTAATCAAGGATACTAATTTTACAAAAAATGGGAGAAAGAACGGGAGAAAATTTTGTCGATCAATAGTTATTTAATAAAAGGCCGATTGGAATTAATCGATGGATATTAAGTCTGTCGGAAATTGGAGTTAAGAAAATTTAGGTTTAATTCGCTCTTGGCGTAATGGTTGATGAATAATGGAGCATTGATTGTTTTTCATAATTTACTTATACAGCTTTGTTCGCGTGTTTTCAGTTACTTTTTCATTTTATTTGGCGAGCAATAAATTGACGTTTGCCACTTCGAGCGTAATTAATTTTGGTTATTTCGATACATCTAGTTGAATGTTTTTGATAATTTTTTGCGGTATCTCATTGTTAGTTTTTAATTTAAATAGCTTTTAATTTGTTACCCTTTTTTATCTCGATTCAGAATATATTTTTCAACAGTACAAGTGACAAGTTATCATCCTTAAGACTTGCGTAGGAGCAATAAATATACGATCAGGGGAGCTGGATTAGAGAGTTAAAAATAAGCTAGCATACTTTAATTTATGCGACAAATGAATAATGTAAAATTAAAAAACAAATTGATTTTTGACGACGAAGAGGCTAGGTTAACAAAGTTCAGTAGATTAACGTTGCAACCACGATTCAGTGTCGCAATAAACGGCATTGTGTAGATACAATGTAATTTGAATCAACACGGTAGCATAATTATAGAGAAGTTTTAGCATTGATAATTAATTGTGTAATAGAGCAAGGTAGAGATAAAAATAGAAAGGAAAGGAAAAAGAGAGGAAGAGAGAGAGAGGGGGGAGAGAGAGAGAGAAAATATAAAGACAAGGGCGGGGATAAAGAAAGAAGGAGGACGAGAGACGAATATGCAACAAGGGGGGTGGTGATGCAGCAATGTAGTGGGATGGACGGATAGACAGAAGAAAGGGGGCGGGGAAGGGACAGATATCGGAGCGGGAGAAGTAAAGTTACGAGGCTGTTTACAGGCGGCTGTTAAAGCGATCTAACTCATGGCCGGCCATTGCTCCCGCCAGGCTTGGCTACGCAACGCAACGTTGTTCGCGCTTTGTACAAGTCGCCTCGAGCGCCGCAGCTGGTTGCGTTTCGCGGGCTAAATCGGGCTTAAATTTCGGCGTAAATCCGAAATTCTCGATTTATCGAAAGGGGAGAGTGTCCAATGTTCGAGATCGCGAAATAGAAAATGGGACGAGCGAAGGGGAACGAATCGCTCGGCCTTTCCGCTCGGCGAATTATCGACTGATATTCGACTGTTGCCGCTCGTTGCGTCCCAAGGCATTCTCCCTTTGAGGGCAATCTCCCGCGTACGTTCCCCCGATCCGCGGAGGGGGTCTGCCGGTAACCACTGCGTCTTTGCCGAACTACCCCGACGACTCCGACGCGCGGAAATTCCGTGCCAAGTATTTATTCATCAGGGTAACCCCCAACCCGGTAAAGGAATTTCATAATGCCGCTGTCACACGCTCTGCCATTGATTGAAGGATCGCCTTCACTACTCCTCTCCCCCGTTGCCCTTTCCCCGTCGCGGCAAAAATGTTGCTGTCGAGCCGAGAACGGCAGCAGCCGTGCAGTGCACTTGGAGAACGGTGCAGGAAGAAACTCTTAATTCCCCGTGACTTTTGGCCCTCCCTCTCTCTTCCCCAATGAAGGTGCGAAACCTGGAGTAATTTTTTCAGGGTTCTACCTGTCAATCTTTATTTTAATTACAAGAATATGCAACGTCGTCGATCGGAAAGCGATAAACGACGATTGACCTTACTGTCTTCGGCAAGAGGAATCGTGCCCTAAAGAAGGTGGTGAGAGCACAGTCGGCGTTACAGATGTACCTCGTATACATGTCGAGTACATGCCTGGACGGAGATATAGACGTAGGGCATGTAGACAGAAACGCGTCTATTTACGGCTGAAACACGTCTACTCCGCAACTCGCGGGGCATAATACCGTTTGATGACGTCATTAAGCCGGAGCGGGCTTATTGTTTCTCGTATAATGTACGTGCAAACGCGTCATCCTGTTTCTGGATGGGTTTGGTTAAGCTCTCCTCACACACATAAGAAAAATCTCTTCCGACAACGTATCCGATGGCGAGAAGATAAAAAAAAATAGATCGAAGTTCAACAATCTGCTTTCGAGAGCGACGGATTTCGCCATGTTCGACATTTCTCTTTATTCGCCTCTCTCGTTTCGTTGCTCCCTGGTTGTGTGAATCCACCCTTAATCCGAAATTCCCGCGGTCTCGTTCTTCCATTATCGCCGACGCGTTCTCCATTTTCCAGGATGGCGACTATAAAGCGATCGTAAACTTATAATTAAATGCCGCTAATGGCACGTGTTGGGCACATGCGGGACGCACGCATCCTCGCGACTGCGAGCGTCTGCGCGTCCGAAAATAGATGTCTTTTCGGGCCTCTTTTCCGTTATTAAGACATCGTCCTAAAATTAAAAAGTCTTACATTTTGTAGGAACTCTTCTTAAATCTTAATCATTGGCTAAGAATGGTAGAGGAAAGTGGGGCACGAAGGTGCAATTCGATCCTAAGAAGAATAATTTAGTACGAAAGAAAAAAAATTATAGCTACAGTTGGTTACGCTAACGCTTCTCTTTCTGTTGCAGGAGAGCCCACCTTAGGACTTGTCTCGAGAAGCTGAAGCTGCTGGTGCCACTCGGGCCTGAAACCTCGAGGCACACCACGTTGGGCCTTTTGACCAAGGCCAAGCGTTTTATCAAGGTGAGTGGATCAATCGAAGTGATAAAAAAAAACAATTAGGTATTGTAAGAGTGAAAACTCACGGGAAAAACGTTCCTCTTTTCGACAACTACCCGAGTAAAAACTAACCATATTAGGGCTAATTCAGGCAGGCCCCGATAAGGATGATAACAAGATTCCTTAAAAAGGACGTTGGGGCTTTATTAAATATTGTTAAGGATGCTCTAGTTTCACGAATTCTGGGTTGCTCTACTATTACCATATTGATATTATTAAGAATGCCCTAGTTTCACGAATTTCCTCATAATGGGGTTTGAAGTTTAGGCTAACGTTTGTTATTGTTATATACTGAATAGTATTAGTACCACTCGCTGCCGCGACGTGGCAACCGCGCGTTAGGCTTTCTCGCAAGTAAAAGTCATCCCGCATTAATATAAAAGACGAGCCGATTATGATCCGGCAGCGAGTTGTCTGGATCGTGGATAAACTCAATGACCTGAATATACTTTCGAAGACTATATAATTTAACACAATTAAAAATTACTTAAAAAATTAAGTTTCTTAAAATTTCTGCTCGGTAAGCCTTAATTAAGGATAAGGATTAATATTTTGAAAGGGCCTGATTATGTTTTCTTATGGGGTCTTGATAATATTTCTTTATAGTAATTTATTAACTTCAGCTTACAGCCAAGAAGTGGACTTGGTTTACTATATGTTCTTAACTCATTCATTCTTGCATACTTATTTCCATCCTCCCTATTTTCATCCTTGCATGTTGTGAGTAGTATTTCTAATTGCTTTATTTACTTACTTAATTTACTTGTATTTGAAACTTAAATTTAACAATTCTAAGCTTAGCTTTATTCTATGTTAAATTTTTAGCCTATTTGTACTTACACTTGTATGGATCTTATATTTCTTATTTATACTTTATTAGTCTTATATTGATCTTATAGATAATATTTCTTTATAAGGCCCCAATAATATTTCCGTACAAGATTCTTATAGACTATTCGTTACAAACTTTTCAGGGGTCTGATCATTTATACGTATTAGGACCCGATTAATATTAAGGAAAATTGATCAGGACCTTTTCACAGCCTTATTGATGTTTTACTATACTCTGGTAGCGACCGTCCGCACTGAGAGACTTAGAACTTGCCACACGAGAGTGTTCGAGATCTGCGTAGAGATATTATTGCGCGCCGAAGAGAAATAAAGAGAGAAAGGGCGGTGGAACTCGGGATTTGAGATATAAGCAGGAAGCGCATTAGAAGCATTGTTTCCCGGTTGGAATAGGTTCGGAAGGGACAAATGGCCGGGAGGAAGGGCCGCGCGGCGTAGAGAAAGGCAGAGCAAGGTGTTACAGCAAACAGAGTGGCGATGCACAATGGATGCGTAGTTAGTAAATTACAGACTGCCAGGGACAATGGCGTGTGCGTACTGAGCAAACGGGCGCGCGTGTGTGCGTGTCAGAGCTTTCCACGCGGTCTACAGGGTGACGCGGATAGAAGCGCGGTGACTCGTACAGGTGACGGAGGCGCGTGTTCTTTGTTTCCGCTAGACCAGTTGTCCTCGTAAAATGTACTTAAGATATTCACCATTCTCACGCGCGCGCGCGCGCGCGCGTCATGTCCCGGATATGCATTCTCGAGGTATACTTGAATTCAGAATACGACTTCCTCGCCATTTACCTGACTTATCTCGCCTCCTTTTTCACGACGTAGTTTTCCGTGCAAATGTTTTTCCTTGGCGTAACAATGAAATGTGAAAGTGACGTTTTTTTGTAGGCTCAACTTTTTCCAAAGTTCTTCGAAGGACACCCGGAAAGAATCTTGACAAACTGATAAGCGGGATTTAGTAAATTCCCGATAACGATATGATAAATCCAATGGGAATAGATTTGGCCGATGACATGAGAAAGGAAAGTCTAAAGATTGTCCAAAAGAATGGTAGAATAATGAGTATCGTTTGAAAAATAATCCAGCGTAAAAGGCTGGCACGAAGTTGCTGCGCTCGTTTTGCCGACGCAATTTCTTCAACATCTGTTAGAATCCGAGGCGCTCGGAGCACCCTGTAGAGTCGCAAGCAGCAGTGCGTATCCACCGTTCATTCGTGTATGCATAGTCCGCGTGGGAGACTCGGCGTGTACATCAATCTGACCTGCGGGCACCTGTGTATATTATGTGCCTGCGTTAGGTAGGAGAAAAATGCTCGTCCGTCCGCCATTTGAGGAGGAAAGCCGCTACGCGTCGTTTAAGAGGGCATCTTGCAAGCGCAATAAAGTTCGCGGTATCGAGAGCTGATGAAGGCACCGCTATATAAAAGAACGATTTCGCCGCGATACGTAACGTTAGATCGTCAACACCCACGCTATGAAAAAGGAAATCTTTTTTTTTTCAATTTAATACTTTACACGCGACTTGCCGATTGGTCCGTCAGTGACAGTAGGGTTGATTAAGCACGGCGGCGGCAGAGCCAGGAAATTTCGATCGTAAAAGGCAAGGTGGAAGATGAAGGAGTAAAGAGAGCGGGTTGAAAAGAGGATGGATGGAAGTTAAGAAGGCGGCGGTGAGAGGAACTGGGAGACATGAAAGTGTCGTTTCTATAGCGGTGGTTTACACCCTCGTGAGGAAGTAAGATGCCGGGCGGGGGGGGGCGGATAGGGCAGAGGTGGAGGGTTGAAGCGATTCGTATTTTGCGAGGCTGGCGGCGTGTAAGTCTTCATTTGTCCGCCTTTGAACTTCTTCCTTTCTGTTTCGCCCGGCCTTCTCGTGATTCTTTTCACACTTCGGTAGACGTTTCCGCGTCGCTAATTATTCTTTTCTCTCTCTCGTCCCGTCCCCCTCTGCATTTGGCTACGTATGTGCAACGATAAATGGGTATAAAGAATAAGACGACTGATTTGGAATTTTTTTACTTTGGTAAGTGGTACCAAATATCGCCTATATATGTAACCCCAAAGTTTTAGCGAAACTAATATTGATATCTGTTAACTGTGGGCAGAATTGTGTGTAAAGTAGGATAATTAGCTTATTTTACGAACAACACCGGTATTTTTAATATAGTTGTAACGATGACATTTTTGTAAAATGACGTCGGCTGATTTAGTGACAGGGGCTTACGGGAAATAGTGTAGTTGTATTATTGCTTGTCTTTTTTTCCAAATCCAAGAGTACCACGTTAGAGAGTGTGAATCAAAGAATCGAATTATGGTATTACAATTAAACGTCAAAACGCAATGACAGTTAAGTATTAACAATTAATTTAATACTAAGGTCACAAGTAGGCCATATTAGGAACGCGTTTTAAAACATGACACTTTCCATTTCGTTACAAAATTTGCGAAAAAAAACTAAGTTAGCAAACGCTTACAACATTTTCCAGTTGGTGACAAAGTGATGTCTGTCCGTCATTTTAAGCTCCATCAGAACTTTCTTCGACCATTTTTGTGGCCACAGGGATAAAAAATAGTTAGGGTAGGCGATATTTGGTGCCACTACCTTATAATCGAAAGATCATAAGATGTGATCTTTTCATTTTTACTCCTGGTACGACTGCTTGTTTTCTTGGACGTAAATATTTAAAATAAGTATTCTTTTCGATTTTTGCGGAAAAATCGGCAACATTAAATCAAATAGAATTCGATTGGTTTGCATTATTGAAATGATGTATTGTTGCAGATATTTTTCTTGATATTTTTCAAGACTTCAAAATGGTTCTTTTTAATGTCTCACTACGGCACCCTTTTGTCTACACGTTTCGCACGCGTAGAAAAATTGATTTATGTTAAACAATTTTATGATGGGATTGAATTCCCCATTAATACGTGACGCAAAGCGCCGCAACAATTTCGATGCCGATTATATTGCGAGCAATATCGACCGGCGCAATGTAAATGGTAAGAGTTGAGCCGAGTCTCACACTCCTGAGGTCGGTCGATTGACTTTACGGCAAGGTACGCTCCGCCTGACGCTTTTCTTAGCCTCGTTTTATCTCCGTTGTAAATTCATATCGAGTAAAATGGAAAGCACGAAAGCAGGAAATTTCCTACGAGCGCGATGTCAACCGCGCTGCCATAAACACGCACACGCAGACACGTCGCCCGTCGTGTGAAGCCTTAATCTGCGATCAGGTGATTTCGTCGCCAAGCTACTTCCACCCCCTTTGGTGTCATCCACCCTACATCTAAAGCGCCGTTGACTCCCGGCTATCTTATCGCCCTAAATTTTTCACTGCGGGGACGTAACTAACAGTCGTGAAATCTGCCAGTTTCTGTCCTCGAGTCGAAATGTTTCTTTTTAGGAATGACCAGTATATCTATCCGAATAAAATTTCGGGCTAATACGCTAAAACGTATGATAATAAAAATACGTTCGAGCCCAGCAGCCACAGTGCTCACATGTACGTGTATATTTTATAATTCGACTCTGTCTTACGTGACGACGATTACTCACTTAGTACTACTTGATAAGGACCCAAAAAATAGGGCCGAAACATTGTAGTAAACTAATAAAGTAACTAGCCAGTTGGGTTGACTATAAGTTTCCCGTTTCAATTTCTAATACGCTAAAATCTCGAGAAACTGCAGATTTAAAATTCGAAAACGCGAAAGTAAAAATGTTTCATCTAAATAAAGTTTTCGAAATAGAATGGGCAAAATTAGCATTGAAAAAATGCTAGTTTAAAATTTAAAGAGCTTTCTATCTTGAACCTTTACAGTGAAAAAGTGTGCACAGCCGCTAAATCTACGCGTATCAAATACTACGCGGTAGACTACGCATTTAGTTGCATTCGATTATTTCCTGTTCGGTGATTTGCACCGGAATTGGTCGGCCTCTTCTCGGTAAGCGCTCGCTGTTGCGTTACGAAATAGCATGCCGTATACAATACAAAGGAAACCGATTATCGGCCGACGTCGATCCTGTTGGCAGCTCTCAGAACAAAGTGAAACGGAGAGATGTTTGAAGATAAACAGTTAATTAAATCAAAACTTTTTTTTTCTCTATACACCGAATAGACTCGCATCTCCCGGCATATCTGCATTAAACCATAGCGCTAAATCATCAATAAATACAATAGAATATTACAGAATGCAATAGAATCTCACACACACAACTATACAATATATAATATAAATATATATTGTAATATATAATTATATTTGAAACTGTCCACACATATTATACCCTGAAATATTGTCAGTATACCACACTAATCACGTGTCATATCGTCTGGGTTACAGAGCCTGGAGGACCGCGAACGTAAGCACGCCATACACAAGGAACAGCTGTCGCGCGAGCATAGGTTCCTGAGACGGCGGCTCGAGCAGCTGACGAACCAGACCGGCCTGCACGGCCTTCATGCGCTTCACGGCCTCCACGGGCTCAGCACGAGCGCGCCGACCGGCTCCGTCGCCGCTGCCGCCTCCGCGGCGATGCTGTCCAAGCGGCGCAGCATCTCCGAGTGCTCCCTAGGCACGGCGTCCACCAGCTCGACTGGAAGCTCCAGTAACTCGGACAGGTCTGCAGGTAGCCCATCAATCTCGGAGTCCGGTAAGTATCGCAACGAGATCGTCATTAGGTGTCGAGTCGAAGGTGCGTTCCTTCCAGTTGGACGTCTTTGCGTCTCCTCGCAGTCTTCATCTCTGCCTTGCTCTCCCAGTAGTATTAAGCGTATCTCACTTCCTCTATCGTAGCGCGCGATATGTATTGATTCCATGTTAATTAACGAATTTCAGCAACAAACTTCTATACCGATTGAACTAGTTCGGAACAATGAATTGCATAGTAACGTAATAAAGTCACGGAATGACCGTAGTAATAAAGTGTATTTAATAATAGAAATATTTTTGCGATCTTTGTACATTCTTATATGCAGCAGATTAATAATCATGATTTTTAACGTCAACCGCAATCGAGCGTAACACATTAACAATAATTTATGGTAGAATTTTATCTTTTCCTCGTAAAAATCTTCGTATAATCCACCGCATTTTTTACGCAAAGGTCTTCAAAGTACAAAGAGGATTTTCGCCAGCAACGCTGTTTTCTTTTCTAACTGGCTTGATTCCGTCGATTAAATCTTAATCGTCGCGAGTCGGAATTAAGATGGGAAGCAGCGCGATAAAAGCCACTTTATCGAAGTCGTAAAGTCGAACGGGTTAATCTTATAATATTTCCCGAAGCGTCATTGTTTAAACACGATGCACACGCACACACACGCGCGCACACATACAATAAACACACAATAGCCGTATATCGCGGCACACAATAGTTCTTATGCTGATTTTTCGAAGTCGTACAACTTTTTAATTTGTTTCAGATAATCGATCGAATATAACGTGTCGACGAAAGCATTTTCGTACAAAGCATTCATACACGGAGAGAATTTTCTCTTAAAATTTGTCCTGAAAATTATATCGTGGGACAACATGGCATTTTGAAGAATTTTATGAGTTTTTTGAAAATTTACCATACTTTTTACTAGTAATTATACTTAGTTTACATTTTACTAGTACTAATTGCAAGTATAATTGTGGTAACATTTGAAAAACTCATAAAGTTCTTGAAAATGCCATGTTGTTCCGCGATTACATGATTTTCAGGGTAAATTTTAAAAGAAAATTCTCTCGGTGTATGTTTTTCCATTTAATTCTCATCGTAACTTTTACAAATCCTTTTACTTTCGGTACGAAACAAAAGGTAACGCGGCGTGTCTCAGTTTTGCCGATATAACTTTTTATTATCCAAAGATATAGAATTACGTCACGTTTCTAGATGAAGATGTTTTCAAAATTTACATTTTGTATGCGTTGACCAACCGTGGCGACGTGTGTACATAGTAAAAATGCATTCGCCGCCGCATGAAATATCGCGTCTTGCGGGGGTGGATGAGTTTTCCAAAGGAGTAAAAAAAAAGAGGTCGAGCTAGAGGAAGGCGAAGGAAATCGGAAAACGTCGGGGGTGTGCGCGCGGGGTGGTTGGACGTTGAAATTGATGATCCCGCGGGAATATCTCCGGCGAAGCACTTATCATAAGTCACGTGTGCCACGCCGGCGATTTTTCGAAAGCCACCCCGAATTTGCCGCGCTTTCTACCTCGGAATAGCGAAATTTATTGTAACTCTTTTTCTCTTATCTCCATTACTAATTACCTTATTAAATATTAGATGCACACGAGAGATCATCAATCTGGTCCGAAATTACACGTTCTATTGCTTTTTAAAATTATCAATTGCTTTCCCGTGTGCCTCTTATGTCAATAATGCTCTCGACATAATATCGTGCATTTAAATGCATATACCACAATGATTGCGGAGTAATCATGTGTCTCCATTACGAGATATGTTCACTCCGGTGAGTCCGGCTTTACATTTATGGACTCAAATAGAATGTGTGTTTTGCGTTGTAGCAATCTGGATAAGGCACTCTCTTCCACATAAACACACACATAAACACCCGTATACATATACTCGCGGAATTATTTCAGGACGATTACCTCGGGCACCTTAATGTTGTGAGATTGTTACGCTTAGCTAAATTACTAAACGTGATAAGATCCCTCTTTAAGATTTGCTATCCCAGCCATTAGTGACGGATCGTTGTGGTTTATGCGCTGTGGCTAAATGTTGTAGTCGCGTATTAGTCAGACAGAACGTATTGGAAACTCAATATTTGTTTTTCCTCGTAGTTTTCGTTTATCACAACGGAGTACTTATTAATTTTTCGTAAATCTTTAAATATGGATACAGAAGCACTAAGAATATACAAAGAATGATTGCTTAACGCAGAATCGAGGAAAACTAATTAAATGCATTTTTGTGATGCATGTCGCCACAGTTGGTCAACGCAGACAAAATATAAATTTTGAAAACATCCTCATCTAGAAACATGACGTAATATTATATCGTTGGACAATAAAAAATGATATTAGCAAAATTGAGACACGACGCGTTACCTTTTGTTTCGTACCAAAAGTAAAGAAACAGAATTGAGAGAAAAAATTGGGGGGGAGGGAGAGATAATCTGTGGAAGCGGAATTTAATATGAAACAGAGACAAGTGTTTCTAAACAAAGAGCAAGAAGTGGGAAAGGGGAGAAGGACTCTCTGACAAGTCAAATATGCCCGACGTTCCCGTAAGATAATCATTTCTAACATGGACAATGTGCAGACTTTCTTGAGTTCGAAGTGATCCTTCAGACAAACCCTTCTATGCTTTGTCCTATAATTTCTTTCGAACAAAATGGAAGCAAATATAAAATGCAGTATGACACGACTGCAGTGGGTCATATATTTGACAAATATGTGTGTAGCTGGTCAATCGAACTTTCTTTTAACAATTAAAGAATAGTAGAATATTTTTTACCGACAGTTTAAATGAACCACTGGTGACGTATTAAATGTCCAAATACGATGCATTTGATTCGAAAATATCTAACAAATGTAAATCTAGTAACGATAGCATACAATATATAATTCTTGTAAGCTTTCTAGTACTTGCGTTTAAACTGAAATATTTTATTACTGAAATATTTTATTACTTGAGAGTAATGTTTGTTCAACTGAAGTCCTTTTCTCTTCCTGCCTTTTTGAAGAAGACATATAACAAAGAAACTAGGCAGTTGGATGTGTAAATCTTGAAACGTGAATTTTTATCGGACTCATTCAGCATTTGATCGTCCACATTTGTCCACATTGTTGGTAAATCACGTGGTTTCCACCGTGCAAAAACATTATAAGCAAACAAATTGAGTAAATTTTATCAGAAGCTTGTCCCAGTGTGTTCTTTAATTGCATTCACATCTCGTGTATAATTGAACAAAAAAAGAGCACTTAGAATTTGTGAAAAGATTTGCTCAATTTTTTTTTATTTAAAATTATGTTGCGGTATGGACAAAAACAATTATTTATGGGAAAATTGCGTGATCAAATACCGCATTTTACAAAAATACACCTTTTGGGATACTATATTAGTTTTATAAATATCAAAAAGTTTGATAATTCGTGTGATTCTCAGCAGATTTTGAGATTTTTTTTCTCTTATATCAATTAGCTGCGTTCTTGAGTCTTCGATATCCAGCACGGTACCTTTGTGGCCAATTTTGTCCGATAATTTGAATGAAAAACTGACAATTTGATGAAAAACTCCAAGAAAAGTGGTTTAGAAATATTCATAATTATTTATTTAATTTTTTCGAAAAAAAGAAAAGTTGTCAGAAGTGGGATTCGAACCCACGCCCACAGAAGTGGACTGCGACCTGAACGCAGCGCCTTAGACCGCTCGGCCATCCTGACGACACGAAGCTGAGTAAGACTGGGACATACATATAGCTGATTATTGGTGCTCGAAATAAAAGCTTTTTAAAATATCCAGCAAGCACACTAATAAATGGAAAGTTTTATTTCAACGAAGGGAAATTAGAAAGACGCGATGAAACGTTTGGAAATCGTGCGAGGAAAAAATTCGAAAATAATTGAAGATTTAGCTTGTTTTATGCAAAGCAATGTAACGAGGTTGACGGTTCATTAAAATTCCAAAATTTTCAAAGTTCACTTTTATGAAATATTTGAGGTAGTATATTAGCGAAAATAACGAAAAGAGACTATCCAATTTGAACGAATCATTAACTTATTCTGCGAATAATCCTCGCATTCGTCGCTCTCGCTCGACATATTCAAACTTATAATAGCGCGGGGTGGAGGGACGGGAGTGATTGAATTATAAAATTATTCGCGTCAGCCATTTCGCGCGTATATATTCACGGGCGGCCATCGATGGATCCACGGTAAATCGAGCGTGGAAATATCCACCGTAAAACTTACCCGGGGTCTTCGAAAACCCTATGAAAGTTTCCGCGTGGCTTCGTGCCGCGCACGGCGATTGTATTATATTATCTTTCACGCACGTCACGTGACCGAAGAAATATACTGACCAGCGAACTATACCGCGCGGCCCGAAGTTATCGCAACTGGGTTGGGACGCGCGCGATCGAGACTTAATCGGGACCGACGACACGTATAAATAGATTCAGATAATCCGTCCACCGAGCGGAGCCGGAAGTTGGCGATTTAGGAGTCAAAGAGAGAGACAGACAGAGAGAGAGAGAGGGGGGGGGGGTTTCGCGGCGGTTTACCTGTCTTGCTCTATCGTTTACCGCGAGACGTCATCTCAATGCCGCGTAAATGCAAGTGCGAAATTGACGGAGACGCAAACTCGAGTCCGCTCCACTCGACGTCTAATATCGCGGGTCCCAACGCGAAATGTCGTCCGCATCTCCGCTCGAAACTTCGCTCGTAAGCGCGAAGTAAGAGTTAATTATCGCGCTCGTGACGGATATTATTGTTATCTGCCGTCAACTGCCACCTTCTCCCCTCTCCCCGCCCTTCTTCTTTCCCATTTGTTCCTGATAAACGCGCCGACACGCAACGGGGCTGCGCGCTGTGCACCGTACCCGCGCGATAACGTGAAATGATTAACTAGGAGGATAACGTGACGCGCGACTTATTTTTACTCGCTTCGCTCGGAACATTGAAATTCATCCCCGCGGTAGGGTGGAATGGTCTCGCGTGTTTTTTTTTCCACAGCCCACGCACCGCTAGGCGGCGGGGGAATGACGAATTTGGCGATGCCAGGGGTGCGCACGACGCCGGTTTTAACGAACTCTTTCGTTCGCCACTCGTGCCACCCTTAAAACCGCCGTTTTAATCAGTGCCTCTCAAATCGCGCCGCTCCGCGCTCATCGCCCCCTCCCCCCCCCCTCCGGCAATCGATATGCGCGGCCAATCAAAGGAGCATTTTTTTCCCCGTGACGTGTTCGATATTATTCATCTCGTGTCACGTCCAAATCGCCAAGATTCAAATTTGAAATTTGGACGTGGCGCGTTCCGTGCGACGCGCGTTTAAAAGGATTCGTTCGACACCTATGCACCTTAATCCGAAGCGATTTCGCACGTTTGTTACCCCGTTCGCGGACTGCCATACCTTCCGCGTCTGTGTTTTGAGCGCCACTGTCACCTGGACAGGTTAGCGATGTCGAGGACGCAAAAGGTAGAGAGGGGTGGGAAGGGGTGGAGGCGGGTGGTGACGAGGGCAGATCTGGTTCGCTTAGTGTGACGAGAATAGAGGCATGTTATTGATTATGGAAAAATACCCCCGGCTCACAGAGCGCCGCGGGCCGTCGGGTGGGCGAAGGGGGTGAGGGCAGAGCTAGCAAGTGTGGTCGACACCCCCTCGTCTTCTTCGAGCTGTGCCTTCCAGCGGGTGTCATGGCTACTGTACACCCCCCTGCAGTCTCTCTCTCTCTCTCTCCAGCGTGTTCTTCGTTTACCCTCCCTCCCCTTGCTTCCTCCTTCGTATCCCCTCCCCCTCCCCGTTGTTGCCCCATCATCCCTTCGTCTGGCGGTATGACATCATAATAACGGCGTGTCCTTGCCGGCTTACTCGCCGTCTCTCGCGAGTATCGGCCAGACGGTGCGTGCGGCGGATGCGTCTTCTTACGTCATGGAAGGGAGCGCTTTCGATATGGGGAAGGCGATACTGTTTAAAACGCTTCGTCAGGGATGACTCGTGCGTGCGCGAGCTTTCAACGTGCCGCTGAAAGATTGTCGGGGTCTACAACCGACAGATCAATAAGTTTAGCTTAGAATGGCCGACAAACTCATGCAGGCTTTTATCAGATCAAAGTATTTTGCTTCGACGCCCCTTCCTCGGATTTTTTACACGCTTCTCTGGTTAAACACGTACGGGGATGACCCCGGGAGTCTGGCGAGTCGCTCGAGAGCGAAGAGACCTCGGCAGATTTATGAAGAGACAGCGAGTCTCGATGGAAACGCTCAGAATTTAACCAGAGAGGCGGGAGGGGGGTGGGTGGGTTTCTCCCCGTGGAAGACGATCTTCTTGCTGCCATTAATTAATCTCGCGTGATAAATGTTAAGCTGGCTGCCATCTTGGAGGATGCTAGACGCGCTACCAGCTGCGCGCCGTAATAGCGGCGGATGCCGATGCATAAATTTCCGCTAATTTTTCACGGCAACCTCGTCTATTGCGTATTAATCAGCGGAAGCAGAAAAAAAATTAATCCCTCGAGCTACAATCGATTTTCAATTTTTGATGAGCGCGGGGTGACTTGTTCGTTTTTTTGTCCGTCGCGCTCTCGATGCGTAAACGAAAGGATTATTTTGTCATCGATCTCTCCCCTCCAGATTAAAACAATGCGAAAATCCGCGCTTTTTGTTGCAGATGAAGTGGATGTGATTGGTTACACGAGCAATCAATCAGACACCGATGATCATAGTAGCGTACAGAGTAGTAGCGACAGCGGTGTCGCGATGTCCACCTCCAGACTGACTCTTTCCGAGATGATGGACAATCTTTAGGTACGTATACCGGATGGATTCATTGCCGGCGATTTTTTCGCGGTCGCTCGCACCGTCCCGCATTGGTGCGTGCCAATTTGGAATAGTGCGGGCAACCGAGTTCTCTATTAGACACGAAAGCGTAGAAGAATTCTATTTGGAAGGTAACGTCAATTTAGACCAACACGGGACGAACGAATTGAAGTAAATTTGAATTGAGAAATAACAATGTTTTTTCCTTACAAAAAGTTTATTGTCGAACTTAGCATCGAAATAGAGAGTTATCTGTAGCTGATCACGGTCTATGATGAATGAAACGCCGTATGCTAAGTACGGGAAATCGTTACGAGTGTAGAACGTAAATCACCAAAGGGATAAAAAGCGGAAGATAGGAATGGATGAGCGGGGGAGCGGAGGGGGAGGGACAAGGGTGGTGGATGTTGGGCAAATAAATTCTCACATTGCTTCCTCCGCGCTATTTGCAGACAAAGAGGCGGTGCGATGGCGGCGAAAGAAGAAGCGGTTGAAGAAGGAAAAGAGGGAAGAATAGGGAAGGGGAGATAGAGCGAGAAAGGAAGAAGATCCATCGGGGCGTACGAAAATTGACGGCGCGCGAGATATCGACTCATACACACATTACATATATACACGTAAAATGCACATTTAAATTCGTACTCAATGCAACTTTGTCCTTCCAAAATGGCCTGACTGGCAAAGCAACGTTAGAGAAGAAGGAGTCCTTTAGATGTCACTCGACTTTGCGAAGATCCTCGAAGAACGGAATAGATTTCAAACATCGGAAATGAAGGGTACGAGAGACTTGAATTGCCAAGGCTCGGAGAACATCAATCGTGACGCAAAGGAGAAGAAAATAGGGGAAACGAAATTATCCTTGATACTATCTCGGTTCTAGCCTACAATATAAAAAATAGTCTTCAGTACTTTTGTTGAATATTGCGAAGAAAAGACAATTGACCCGAAGAAAAGATATCCATTAAAGAATCCGAGAGAGGAAGGAAGAGAGAGGATAGAATAGGAAAACTAAAGACGGAAGAAATGATCCACCTAAAGTGCATATAGGAAGAAGGCGGAAGTAACAGCTTAGGAAGAGACTGAAGAAAGGATATATAAAATAGACTTTATCAAGTTTTACAGCTATGTTTTATAGCTAAAGAGAACAACATTTGGAAAGAAAATGATTCACCTGGACAAAAGACAAGAGCATCAGGGATAAAGAAAGGGAGTTAAGAAGCAATGGAAAAAGAAGAAATATCTGCAAAAATGAGAAAATTTGACGAAGAAGAAATCCAGCCATCTTTCAGAAATTGATCTCGATGAAAAAGGAATAGGAACATGGAAGATAAGAAAAAAGTGAGCGAAATGAAGAGAAAAAGAGAAGGTAACAAGAACATCTTGAAGAATGTGAAGAATAAAGAAGATTATTGTAAATTATCGAGCATTGACGAAATCATAGCAGCATTGTATATATTTTTAAGAACGAACAGATTTATTAAGACAGCGTAGTTATGCAACAAGGGGGAGAGAGAGAGAGTGTGTGTGTGTGAAAAAAGGAGAGAGGAAGTGCATGTATGTGTATGCGTGAGAGAGAAAGAAAGAGAGAGGGCAAAGAAGCTAAATGAAAAATGAAGCTATGGTAATGTTAAGCAGTAACTGATTAAATTCTTCGTTTCGTTGCGAGTTTATCCCGCATTCTTAAAAAGAATGAAATGAGGTATCGATTGATCATTTTGAGACTCGACTATTGAAATACGCGTCTTTTTTTATTTACAACTTTGCATTAATTGATAAAACTGATAATTTATTCTTAGAAATTGATTTTGGAAAATTTGATTAAATGAGTTTTATCGTCTTAATATGCAAACTGATTCTCAAACAATTCCAAATTTTTTAATCAATTTTCAAAATACAATTCTATTAATTTTTTAAGAAAGATTGAATAGAGAAATAGGAAAGAATGGAATTTAAAAATAAAAAAATTCTGTTATAATTTCTATTTCTAAAAATTTATGGTTTTTAAAAATCTAATTACTTTAAAATATTATTTTTATGGAACTAAATTTCTAAGATAAATTTATAGTTTATCAAAATCTAACTAAGAAAAATTTATTTTATAAAAAGTTATAAATTTAGTCACTAAATTCGGAAATATTTTTCCGGAGCAATCTATATAGTTTAAAATGACGAAATTATTGAAGTAATTTGTAATATATTAAATAAATTATAATACAAATTTTTCATAAATTTATTCATAAAATTGTTTATTTAATTCAAAACTCAAAGATTATATGCAATATTTGGAATTAACTTTAATATGTTAAGATTATAAAATACAAAATTATTTTTGTAGTATAAAGTTATGTATAAAATTAGAATTACTTGAGAAGATTATATAAATTATTTTGATAATATACAAAATTATTTCTAAAACTAAATCGCGGATTACTTCCATCGAACATTATTTAAATAATCATATCAGCAGTAAACAAACAAATAAGCTTATTAAACTTACCAAATAAATAAACCCCGCGCCGTCGTCATATTTGCAAAAGGAAATAAATCTTCATAAAACTCGACACCGCGCAAAGTAAAGGAACATGAGAGGGGAGAATGTTTAGGGAGGATGAAGAAGAGACGGACAAAGATAGACAAACGGCTAATTTCTCGATGAATAATGAATTGCGATTATTTAATAGATAACAACGCAAACCCACACAGACACAAAGGAACAGATCTATACACACGTATATGTACACATATATAGTTAAGTAATTATTATTCTGTAATTAAGTGAGCAAGCAAAGTATAAAAAACAAAGTATAAAAAGCAAAAAAAGTAACCTATAATACGGCGTAAGTGACGTTTCATTATATATATATATGCATATGTGTATATTATATACACACATACATAAATATAGAGTGTCCCTTATTTATGGATCTAGAAATAGACAAAAAGTCTTTTGTCTATTGAGTGACTTCTGCTTTCCAAAAGATTTGTTCATAACGGATTTACTGAATCTACTTACTATGAAGAAAAAGTAAAGGAAAATGAAAAGAGAATTAAGAGTGTTATGAGCAAAAAGAAGAATTTAAGAAAAAATTATAAAACAAATTAAGAAATAAAAATGTGAAAATTATGAATAGGCAGTGAAAGGAGATTTTTCCAAATTTATTAGACTTTTCTAAACAATTTATTTGTTATTATAAAGAAGTGACACAGACTGTGTGAACTGCCGAATGTGCAATAGAATAATTAAAGTAGAAATTGAAGAAATAGGTGACACTCTAATACACACACGTTCGAAGAGTACAAATTCCACAAATCCTTCATTGGGTGTTCTGGGGGGCTATTATCATCTTTTTATGTGACGCGTTTTTTCACGATCTTGGACTATTCCCAGATTATGCGTGAATAATCTACAAAAAGTGAACAATGTAGATTGTAGATTTGAAACCGATACAATTTCGCCAAGATCAAATTTTGATGCTAAAATGATTATATTTTGACGTGAAATAATATCATGACATTTTTCTCCATTTTGACAAGATAATACCTTTGAGAATAATTTTCTTATTTTATTTACGTTAGAAAATAAAGTTGCTTAAGATATTACAAGGAAATTGTTGAAGAATATTATGTTATTTCAATATAAATATGAAACATTATAAAAGATTTAGCGTAACGAGATTGTAGCGAGTTTCAATTTTTAATCCAAAATGATATTAAGAAATGCGATACGTTTTCGACTTAAAGGACAAACTGAAAGGTCCTTGTAAAATTGGTATTGAACGATAATTTAATGAATGGACTGATTACTAAATATAACGGATGATCTCTGAAGACCGTTAATTTGTAAGTTGGAGATGAATGTTTCTGATGAGCATATTGTGGAAAATAATCCGTTGCAGAAATATGTATCGTCGGTTAACCCTTTAACTTTGTCTCGTACACGTGGTACGCAAAATAGCCAGAAAGTCTGTCGTTGAAATACAGAGGCGGTTTGTAGAGCAGCCAAAATGAAGTGTTTCTTTTTCTACAGTGCACTTTTTAATAGAAAATTTTTTTCATAAAATGAGAAATAGAAAATTTAATTGTTTCAACTTTTAAGAACTGTTTTTAGGCTGGATGATGATCGATATTAATAAAATGCACCAAAATTTCTGCAATTTGCAAAAAGAATACGAAACTTACAAATGTTAAACATTTAAATTTAACAAATATGACAATCGCGATCTGTTTAAGAAACACGTTTTGCGATTTCGTGAAAGAATCTATAATACGAAAATCGATATTAGATTCTCTGTATATATATACAGGAAGCGCATACACATATATTCTTTAATATTTTGATTCTATTTGTACTATTTTCTTCTTTAGTTCAGTTCTGATTTATTATTTTTTTACGTTTCTATACGCGTTTCTCTTTTTCGTTTTATTTAGTTTACTGTCAACATTTATTGTCTTCATATTATTGACACAGTATTATACTATTAATGTAATATAGTAAACCTTGATTGATGAGACGAAAATTCTAGTGATATTTAGTATTAAATATTGAAATCTTTGACGAGACAGTTGAAATCTGGGAACTTTATTAGCATAGAATTATATCTGAAAATTATCTAAAAAATTAAGAGATATGTATTTTGTATTACATTTAAATTTAAAAAATTTTTCAATATTATAAAAATAATTTTATTTTTTCATTTATTATATTTCTTTATTTTACACAGTATTATATATAATAAATAAATATTTTAAAATATAAAATATATTAATTAAGGAGAATTGAACACACATTCTGAAATTAGATTCCAATATCTTAGAATGACAGTTTTAATCGAAAATCGATTTAATTAAATATTATGGAATCCAGGGATCTAAAAAACGGGATCGAAAATCTCAAATATAATAAAAATATATATTACAAAAGTTTTTTATTATTTAATATTAGATACTTCTTGAATTTACTTAAATATAATTTTAATTCTAATCTTCAATTTAGAGACTTTTTGAATTTTCGAAGAAAATGAGAATAAACATTAAGCATTAAATTAAACGTAAAAATTTTGCGAAGTATTAAATACGCAAATCGATTTAATCGAATATTATGAGGAAACGTTAAAAATAATTTCCAAAGATTGCAAGTAAAAACACTAAAAACGAATTTCATTAATTTCATGGACGCTTAACTTTTTGAAGCTAAATGTATAATAAGTTAAAGGGTTAACTGTTGGGGATAGTAGTTGGATTAATAGACGAAGGACGTAAGAAATACACAAATACACTTTTACAAAAAAGAAACGAAACAGCAGCCAACGAAAGAAAGACAGATGTTAGGAAGTGAAACTGTGAAGATGATTAAGATTTACCAGGTCAAATCCCGCCGAGAAAAAGCGACCAAGCCGAGTGAAATATTTTCAGCGAGGCACACCGCGATTTTTAATATTGAATCGAATATTGATTGTTGTATCAACAATCGCCTATAGCTATATTGCAATCATATTGGTTGTTGCACGAATCTATCGCGGTGAATACAGCACAATTATAAATGGGCGGGCTTTGACCGCGGTAATGTGCATGATCCTGCGCCTGTCTTTCTACTAATTACACAATTTTTATTTTTATTTCTTTTAGATTGCAAACTCACCTAGCTTTATATTGAAACTCTTATCTCTATTTTAACAAAAAATCTACAAAATTTTTTTCTAAAAATTTAATTTTGTATTATTAGATTTAACTCCTAAGTATTAAAAATATTTGTGTATCAATATTAATCTATACGGGATAATTTACTTTATTAATTTGAATTTATTACTTTGTTTAAAAAAAAGTGACGTTGGCTGTCGTTTATCTTATCACTGATTATCAATTAATACACGAAAAGAACTCGAAATAGAAGTGACACCGTTGATCTTCGTACGCCAGAACAAGAATAAAATTTTGAATAAAATAATCGCGCGCAGGACAAACCAAGGAACCACTAAGAACCAACAAAAATCTAACGACTACAAAAAACTACTAGGAAACAAAAAAGTGGAAAAATAAATAATAAACAAATAAGCACAAAAGTAAGCGAGACCTCTGCGTAGAGATCTAAATGAGCAAACTTTATCAATTAAGTAATAACTACGGAATTTTTTAAAGAATCTTCCATTTCTGAAATGCACAATATATGGGTCACATTAATTTTAACCCTTTTTAATGGCCAATGGAGTAAGAATTGAAAA